GCAGGACTTTCCAGGGGAAGGCCACAAGTGCAAGCTAGCAATATCCAATCTTAGGACCCTGCGCCGCAAGCATGAAGCTTCACATCTTGCAAAAACAAAACAACCAATTGCTTGCACCACGAGCTAAACCGTTTGATCAGCATCTGGGACTTGGGAGACAAGCTATTTGTCAGGACCTGAGCTGCTACCTCTTGGAGGTAGAATTCCAAAGTCTTAACTCTCGCCCATCTTCCTCTCCAACGTATCATGGGAATGTTTTCGGATTGCAAATACATCATGGTGGCACCAGATCCTCTGAGAGATCCGGGAGTGAGGCCGTGGCTGGCTTGCTTGCAAGGCACACCAAGATGAGTCATAATAGCATTCCATTGACTGCGGTAGCTGTGCATAGTGCCACCAAACAAGAGTTCATTCAGACCAAATTGACCGAAAAATTCAACAGCAAATTTGATGACATCAGGATCGGAGATCTTTACATGTTGCTGTCGGGCGAATCTGGCCGTTTTGGGAAAACGCAAATGCACATAGAGTGCGTCAGTCAGGAAACCAGTGTCTGACGGCAGCATCAAGTCTTTGCGCCTCAAGTTGATGAACTCTGCTGGGTGCAACATTCCACTGAAACCTATCATGGTAATTCCGGCCCATCGGGGCCAGTGCCACAAAATAGCAGGGCTCAACACGGCTTGTAAAACTGGGAGTGATAAAACTGGACGACAATGACCTGGCTCAGCTTGCTGCCATTTCTTATCGATTTGCCAGGCTGCTCCAAGCATAGACCTATATTGGGGGCATTGATCTTGGATGGCAGTAATTGCGTAAACCAGCAAGTAACGTGGGAGGCCGGAACGGTGCAGGTGCAGTCCATAGGCACGCAAGGCCAAGGCACAAGTATCGGCCCGCAGAGTCACTCTGGCCAAATCCATTTGCAGTTCACTATCCAGCCACAATATAAAAGCGTCCAAACATCGACGCATTCGATCAGCAGTGGCTTTGGCAAAGCCAGTATGCAAATCTTGACCAAGCGGTCCAGGATTCCTTTCTATATCACCACCTAATAAAAGCAGGAAACGCAGCCATCTAGCTGAAAGCTTGCTGATCTGGGCCGATTGACAAACCAGTTCCCAGCC